TTTTTAAATAGAATCATTTGAAAAGTTTGTAATTTTGATGAAGTCATTTTTTTCTTTTGTAGTTTGTATTTTTACCTGTTTCAGAAACTTTTGCTAAACCTAAGATAACCAAGATTTTTCCTGTTTTCTTGCAAACAACATTGAATCTTTTGATTCACAAACAGGATATATATGGCCATGTAGGTTTTCTTTAAATTTTTCTCACCAATGTCATATAATCTTGGTACTCAAGTCCTACACAAATTTTGTTAAGTTTATACCTGTGTTTTATATTTTTGATGCTATTATAAATAGTATCTTCGAATTTTCAGTTTCTGATTCTCATATACAGAAATAAATGCTTAGCCTTGACCTTGTATCCTGCCGTCATTTTTAACTTTTTTGTTCTTACAGCATTTGTGTAGATTTTTTAGCATTTTCTACATGTTATGACTACCAAATCCTTTAAGTTTTATTTCTTTCTTTTCAATCTGTTTGCCCTAATGTGTGTGTATGTGTGTGTGTGTGTGTGTGTGTGTGTGTGTGTGTGTGTGTGTTTCATTACTGCAAAAACTAAAATCTCTGGTTCAAAGTGGAAAGCAAGTGGTGCAATCAGAAATCCTTGTTCTTTTTCAGTTTCGGGAGAAAACTTTGTTTTCATCATTAAGCATGCCAGATGTAGATTTGTTTGCTTTTTAGATGACCTTTATCAGACTGATGAATTTCCTTTCTATTCCCAGTCTGTGGAGATTTTATGGGAAATAGACTTGGATTAAAGATTTTTGTTTTCCTGCACCAATTGAGATGATCAGGGGCTTTTCCTTTTTTAATCTAACATAATGAATTCCATTGATTTTTTAAAAAATGTTAAACTAATCTTGCATTCCTGGCATATATTCCACTTGGTTATCATGCATTGTTCTTTTTATGTACTTTTGGGTTCAACTTGCTAAAATTTTGTTAGGATTTTTTTCATTAATGATCATGAGGTGGTTGAGTGTTCTCTTTAATTAGAATACTCCCTTTTTTCTGGCTTTAGGAACAGGTAATATTAGGCTCTTAGAATGGAGAGACAATTTTACCTGCAGTCCTGTATTTTGGAACAGTTTGTGTAAAATTGATACTATTTCTTTCCAAAATACTTTGTGTAATTCATCATTGAAGCCATCTGGGCCCAAAGATTTGTTTGTGGTAAGGCTTTAAACTAGAATTCTATTTTATGGTTTTATAGGGCTATTCAGATTTTCTATCTTTTGGGTGTGCTCCCCCCAAATTCATGTTGAAGCTTTCATCCCCCAGTTTGGCACYATGGGGAGAGGGGGTTCTAAGGAAGTAATTAAAGTTAAATGACAGCCTAAGAGTGGGGTCCTGATCCTATAGGCTTATTGTCCATATAAGAGACACCAGAGAGTGTATGTCTTCCTCCCATGCATCACACAGTGAGAAGGTGGCCATCTAGAAGCCAGGAAGAGAACCCTTGTTAGAAATCAAATCAGCTAGAAATTTAATTTTGGATTCCTAGCCTCTAGAATAATGACAAAATAGATTCTGTGGTTTAAGCCACTCACTTTATGATATTTTATGGTAATCTATTATAGGTAGTTTTTGGTGTAGGAATAATACATTTTAACTAAACTTTCAAATATATTGGCATAAATTGTTCACATTTCCTTGTTATCTATTTACTGTCTCTTAGTACTACTCTTTCTCATTCCACGTTTCCAATTATGTCTTATGTCCATCCTCCCTATTCTCCCTGTGGTACTGGGGATTGAATCTATAAACTTGCACGTGCTAGGCAAGCATTCTACTACTAAGCTACATCCTAGTCCTATTAAAATCTTATTTTGAGGTAGGGTCTTGCTAACTTGCTACATTGTTCTTGAACTTGTGATCCTCCTGCCTCAGTCTCCCATGTAGCTGGGATTATAGGTGTGTGTGTACCACAGCACCCAGTCTGTCTTGAGTATTTTTTAGTCATGTTGGAAATTTATCAGTTTTATTGATGATCTTAAAGAACTAGGTCTTGGCTTGTCTAATTTATGTTTTATTGGTTCTTGTGACTTGAAAACATCATCCCCCCCCCTTTTTTAAAATCTATTTTGGATGAGTTTTCTTCCACATTTTAAGATAGAAGCTTAAGTTTTTGGAAATTTTTTATASTATTGTTTTTTAAAAATATTTATTTTTTAGTTTTAGGAGGACACAATATCTTTATTTTACATTTACGTGGTTCTGAGGATCGAACCCAGTGCCTCGTGCAAGCTAGGCGAGTGCTCTACCACTGAGCCACAACCTCAGCCCTGTATTAAGTGTTAAATGTGAGAAATTTCACTAATCCCTGCTTTAGGTGCATCCCACAAATTTAAGTGTCATATTTTCATTCAATTCAAAATATTTTTTAATTTTGGTATGATTATTCATCTGAGCCACAAATCCTTTAGAAATACATTTGATTTTCAAATATTTGGGATTTTTAAACTTCACTGTGGTCAGAAAACATACTTTGCATGACTTGAATTATTTAAAATTTCTTGGTATATTTTTTAGGTTCAAAATATGGCCTATCTTGGGAAATGTACTCTACCTCTGAATTCTGGCTGATTTAAACTCTAACTTTTGTATCCCTATTTTGGGAAATCCCTGGATTTTTATGCTCCATCTCCATTGACACTACCCCATGCTGTTTCTCTGCAGAAAACCTGAGAAATCATGGTGCCCATTTCATTTTCCCCTTCTTCTATGGCACTGACCTTTGTTGACTGTTGCATGCTGTTTTTATTTAGCCTGGTGTTGTAGTTGCCAAATGTTCCAGGTAAATCTGCTTGCTTTTGCTTCATCATGGTTAGTGGTTAGTCAAAATTCAATWTTTTTTCACTCTTAAAACATTTTTGTTAAATTTTGGATTGGTTTCAGAGTCTCCAAAGGTTCCTATGTTGGAAGTTTGTTTCCATAGTAGTGGTGTCAAGTGATGGTCTGGATGGGGCCTGGTTTTAGTCTTAGTTCTTCTGTATTGTAAGGAGATATCCTTAATAGAAGAGTTTCCTAACAGAATATGAAGGCCCTAGGCATTGCCTTCTACTTGCTTTGCCTCTTGAGTCTGACAGACCAAAGTATAAGGTGATATACACTCTTTCCAGTGGATTTATTTTCTCCATTATTCCACTTATCTCTCTGGCTTGTGGCTTTCTTCAAAGCTTTGGCCTAGCAATATATTATCTTTTTACCTTCTGTTTTCCAGGTTTATAACAAACACACAATCTTGAAAGATCCATTATCAATAAGGTGATGAGGGTTAGAATAYGTGTTAATTTATGGGGGAAAAAACCTAACTTTACCACTTAAAAATATTCTCAGCAGGGAAGTGTGATATTTAAAATTCTTAAGGCATTAATGCCAAGTGTACTTTTCCTTATCATTCTTTAGAGGAGCTTGTTTCCTTATTTATTTGTCTAAAGTGTTACAGATTTAACCCAGGGCACTCTACCACTTAGCTACAATACCAGCCCTTTATTTTTATTTTTTTGGGGGGTCTTGCTAAGTTGCTGAGGCTGGCCTTGAACTTGTGATCCTCCTGCATCAGCCTCCAGAGTCCCTGGGATTATAGGCATATGCTACCCCACTTAACTAGAGAAGATAAATTTTAAGTGAATGTACAACTCAGTAGCAAAGCTATATAACCAACCTAGGTGCCCTTCAACAGATGAATGGATAAAGAAAATGTGTCATACATACACAATGGAATATTACTCAGCCATAAAGAAAAATAAGCCAATTCCCCCAAATCAAAGCCAAATGTTCTCTCTGAAATATGCATGCTAACACACAATAAGTGGGAGAGGGGAAGAACAGAAGTTCATTGGATTAGACAAAAGGGAATGAAGGGAAAGGAGTGGGGGTGGGAATRGGAGAGCAAGTAGAATGAATTGGACATAACTTTCCAGTGTTTATATATGAATATACAACCAGTATAATTCTACATCATGTACAACAAGAAGAAAGGGAATTTATAATCCATATATGTATAATATGTCAAAATACATTCTAATGTCATGTATAATTAAAAAAGAACAAATAAAAAATTTAAAAAGGAGAGAATGGGCAACTAATAGCATATAAGGGAAATTGGCCTATCCCTGGCCCTTAATGTATCTTAATTTCATGTTATTACTCAATGTCCTTACCTGTTAATGGAGATAATACTAAATTATCCTAATAACCCCTTATTAGCTCTAATATTCTATGAATCTAGATGCTTCCATAGTTTACCAACAATACCTATAATAGACTTTCCTCAACAATAATAGTCTAGCCCGCMGACGCAAACTTTCCATAACACTCCAGTCTTTCACTACCAACTGACTACAGATGAAACAAATCCTATTTATCATCCCTATTCATGTAAATACGACATCTTTTGAAATATGGTTACAATAGCCTTTTCTATTGTTATACCATTATTTGCTTTTCTAGTAGTTGGAATAGTTTATGAATTAACAAATAATCCCAACCCCAATCATTTCTACCTTTTAGGATTATAGAGAATTAAAGTGAAGAATTAAAATATTATTTTTTAAAAAAAATTTTCATACTTGTACAGAATGCCTTTATTTTATTTGTTTATTTTTATGTGGTGCTAGGGTTTGAACTCAGGGCCTTGCATGTGCAAGRCAAGTGCTCTGCCACTGAACTACAGACCCAGCCCTAAAATATTCTTGCATTTAAAAAAAGTGTGTGTGGTGGGGACTAATTGGGTACAAAACCAAGCAATTATTCTCAGCTTTGTGTAAAAGCATCTTATTGAGAATAGTACTGGGCTGGGGATGTGGCTCAAGCGGTAGCGCGATTGCCTGGCATGCGTGCGGCCTGGGTTCAGTCCTCAGCACCATGTATAAACAAAGATGTTGTGTCCGCCGAAAAACTAAAAAATAAATATTAAAATTCTTTCTCTCTGTCTCTCTTTAAAAAAAAAAAGAGAATAGTACTGATAAAAGACAATCAACAGTATACTTCAGGTAGATAATAAAAATTTAATAGTAATATAAAATAAACATATAAAATCAACTGTTTATTTTTGGATGTTAGAAATAATATACATAATAATTCTGACATAATATGATAGTGCTGCAAGATAAGATTTTATGTTTTGAATTACAGATTATGCCAATCAGGCTGATTTGTACTCAGTGGTTCAAAAATTCTGCTTTTATTACTAAAAACATCTGGACTGTATCCATCACTAATACAATGATGTAATACTTGGCATATTATACTTGAAGCTATGTGACCTTAATCTTAATGACCTAACTCCTCTCGTGATGGAAATAAGAGGCAAAAAGTTCCCCATACTAGTTACCAAAACTGTCACAATGTCAAAAAAAGAAAAAAAAGATTCCTTTCTCCTTTTTCATCTCATATTGCTATTGAAGCATATGCATGGAAGAAGTTAAAAACCAAAGGGCAACTTTATGATATATGCTAGGTCAATTTTAAAAATTCGCAACCTTGTTTTAGATATAATATTCTTGGTTCTAGTCCTTAAAGAGAAACAAAAGTATTTAATCAACGTTTTAAATATCAGGAAATATAATTTTACTTTTTTCATAATCAAGTCTTTCAATGATTTCTAGGACTATTTCCACTGAGCTAGTTCAGGAGACACAATGGTTGATAAATGGCTTAAGAATATCAACTTCAAGGTTAAAAATACCACTTCAAAATTAAAATAGAGCCCTTGACAAGGTTACTTAATGAAGAATTGCTGGTCAGGATGAACAAGCATTAGACCGAAAGAAAGGTCATGCTTAAATACTTAAACAAAAAATCTCAGGTAGGTCTTCAGTGACATAGGTAATTTTTCAACTTAAAGAAATTTTCTGAAAATCAAAATTCCTTATTGCATGGTAATTTTCAAAACCACTAACTCCAGTTCTAGGTCAGTCCTTTGGTTGGATGATTTAATCAAGTATATATTCTATAGACTTCAACTACAGAATTCAAAAAACAAAAGATAGTGTTAAAATCTTAACTGAAAAATTGCATGTTTCTCCATCTTTTTCATGCAAAAAGCATGCCCATCTTAAATATGGTATTTCTTATAAATAATCTTTGTATTTCCCACTGAAGCTTGATATTCTGATGAGTCAAATTCAAATGCTTTCATACACATGAAGATTAAAGAATGTCCTGAGGATTATTCATCATTATCTGTAGAAAAAAGAAAAACAATTAATCCACTTCATTTAAAATCAAGCTGTGTCTGCTCAGTAAAACAATAACAACAAATCCCCACATCCATTCTTTTTCACACTAGAGGAAGAAATTTAATGAAGGTTGTTATTTTTTATTTTTGCAGTACTGGGGATTGAACTCAGGGCCTTGTACACATAGGCAAGTTCTGTGTCACATCTCCAGCCTTTAATGCATTTTAAATGTAGTTTTTATTGTAATTGCACATACTAATTGTAAAATATTGAAACAATGTATTGGAGAACAAAGTAGGAAGCAAAAATCATCAGAGAAAAGAGAATCAATGTTAAGAATTATACATAAATCTTCCAAGACTGCTTTCCTAGGTATTGCTTTAACACAAATATCTTTTWAAAAATCACACCAAAATGCAGTTTTGAGACATGAGTTTTTCCACTTAAAATACATAATGAGTGGAAAGATAGATAAATGAGTGCTAGAAAGATGCTAAAGATTATAAAGTGTTAATGGCAGAATCTACTCAGTGAGCATACAGATGATCATTATAAAGTTCTTTTAAATTTTCTACATGATAAAAATTTGAATAAAATGTTGTGAAAGAATAAGCCATGAGCCATGCACAGTGGCACATGACTATAATCCTAGCTACTCAGGAAGCTGAGGCAGGAGGATAGAAAGTTTAAGGCCAGCCTTGGCGACTTAGTGAGACCCTGTCTTGAAGAAAAAAAAAAAAAAGGGCTGGGGATATAGCTCAGTGGTAAAGTGCTGGATCTAGTACGGGGGGGGGGGGGCGGGGAGAATAAATTATGGATATATTCCACATCAATTTTGATGTCTGCATAGTATGGCATAATGACCATTCATACTCATATGTTTTGGTTATCCCCAATTTTTCTTTATTCTATAAAATATAAGGTTGAATGAATTAAACAGGTTTCTTAATGTAATCTTTCAAAACAAACATTATCTTCCACATTCTGGAAAAGTGATTATTCATTGAAGTCCAAGTGCCATGTCAAATCACTGTGCAGCTTAAAATCCTTCACTAGCTCCCTATTGCCTCAGGATAGAATGAATACATACTTCTTAAGGAGGGCTGAGAAGCTTTTTATCATTCTAGCCTTATCAACTTTCAGTTTCTACCTTCCCCAAATGCCCTCATAATTTATGTTTTAGTAACAATGAATTGTTTATAGATCCCCTAYTACAACATTTTACATCCCTGTATGTATTAGTACTCATACTGATTCAGGTAAAATTTACATTCTTCTTTGAAAATCCAATTCTGATATCTTCTCCCTCAGGAAGACCTATCCTGTTATCATTATATTTCTTTCAATTGCTGGATCATTGCTTTATACAACTTATATACATTTAAAATTTTTAGAATGTTATTCTTATCACTCTGTACTATAATTTACTATTTTTATAAGTATAAATGTTTAGAATAATCAGAAAATTAATGAACACACATGTACCTGATACCCAGAATTAATAAAAGTTAACTTTGACTCTCCTAGTTTAGGCTATTAAGAAGATACAGAGAGGACCATTTTTTAACCTTATTGCCTTCACCTCTTCTCCTGATATTACTGTATATTCTTCCTTCCCATGGCTTTTCACTCTCATGCACGAGTAAATAAAATTGTTTTTAAAACATTACATAAATGGTATCACATGTTACTTATTCAACTCATTGTGTTAATGCGTATATTCATATTGATAGTTGGAAACTGGMCTTATTCATTTTAACTGTTGTATAGAATTTCATTACATAAACACAGCATAGTGGTTCTATCCAAAATGGATGTGGAGGAAAGGTATGTGTATCCTTTTAAGAATCTATAAGCTTGCACCAGAATTGGTGGTGCATGTCTAATCCCAGCAGCTGGATATGGGGTCTTAACATTTCCAATAAGAAAAGCTCCAAAATAGATATCTAAAATAGATATGTAGTCAGTATAACATTTAACTTTCTAATAATTAACCATGGAAAAGAACAAGGTAACTTATTCAGATAATGCATTATAGATTTTATACTAATTTACTTAGTGCCTGGCTACATTAGTAAGTTATAACATTTTATGGGTTATTATTTTAAAAGGTTGCTAGGGTGTGTTTGTGTTTAAAGGTAGCCATTTGGTTTTTGTAATTTTACTTCCCCCATCCCCAGGCTAGAGAAATTGCCACCAAGTTCTAAGATACAAAACACTGGGGTCCTGGTTTCCTTTGCATTTGTGTGCTACAAAAGATGTGATATTGCTGCTGCTTCTTTTATCTTTACTTTAAACCATTGGTTTTTAAAATTTGTTCTTTTTAGTTATACATGCCAGTAGAGTATATTTTGACATATTTATACAAGCATGGAGTACACCTTATTCTAGTTAGGACCCCTGTCTTGTGGTCTGATATTGCTTCTTTTTTATTTATTTWTATATATATATTTTTTAGTTGTCAATGAATATTTATTTATTTATTTATATGTGGCATTGGGGACTGAACAGTGCTTCACACATGCTAGGCAAGCACTCTACCACTGAGTCACAACCCCAGTCCCTGATATTGCTTCCTGAAGAATATATTAGCCTAGTCTGATTCTTGGCCTCTGCAGGGCAGATGGCCTATGTAGGCAAGCATCCTTTTGCAGACACTCAGCTGTCAAAAGAGAGTGTCAATTTTACTTCATGGCTCAGTTAATTGTTATAGCTCTCCACTTGAGGGGGGAAAGCAAAATAAAAGCTCTTGCAGGCTGAAATGAAGCCAAGCACATGGTTGTTGATTACTGTGAAAAGCTCTATTAAAATAATACTTAGGATGAACCGTCTGAAGGATGGACAGACTATATATGAATAGAACTGGTTTGATACTCAATGCAGATTTACTTCAATGACATCATTCTCTGGCCTCATGGCATTAAATTATACCATGAACATACTATGAGAAATCTCATGAAATCCAAATATTATACAAATTACTGAGAATATTTTTCATTTAAATATGAGTCCAAGACCTCAGTAAAATCAGGAATCTGTAAGTTCCCAATAATCTTTAAATTTTAGATTATTATTTTGATGATAAAATAATTTTTTAATTTTGGAAAAATGAAACACCTGTTTTACAGTTCTACTGACAGACATTTTCAAAGGCTAACAGTTGAGTACACACTGTGGTCTATGGACCTTTGGATTCCTGTGCCTGGAAAATTCTTTTCTCCTTAAACGCAGCCATGTGTTACTCTAGTTTGAAGAACATCATATGACAGTTCCCCCTTTTTAAGAATCATGGAATTTTTTTTCCTCTGGTCAATACCAAAAATAGCTGCCCTCTGAGCAATGAATATGCATATCCCAATGAATATGCCTGGACTCATTCAATTAAGTTTCCTGCTTTGCCAGAAAGATCTACACCAAACTTGTGTCCTATTTTCAGAAAATGTAGAGATCTTTTGAAAATAAATGTTGTATTATTTTTCATTTCTGGTTTCATATATTGCTATATTCATTTCCTCAATATGCTGACTTACTCAAATACTTTTAAAATTTAATTTTATCTTGTACCTATATGTTTTTAAGTGTAATCTGAAACTTTTTTTGTAATAAAGTGGAAAATAAATTTTATGAAAATTTGATTGCTAAAACTAAGCATCAACATTTAAAATCCTCTAATTTGGTCTATAAATTAAACCTTTAAAGAAATAGAATTAATTTTTTGTGACATTCTTGAAATGAATTCTTGTTCAAATTTTTACCTATTTCTTTATGTGTATAAAAGTTTAATATTATCTCTTTGGTAAGAATTTTTCTAATTTCTTGAACTGCCCAATTAGGAAGCATTAAAAAAAATCTCATACAAATGTTACTTATACATAAAATAAAAAGATACTGACTTAAAGAATCTAAGACAATAAAAGTATATGACAGGGGCTGGGGTTGTGGCTCAGCGGTAGAGTGCTCGCCTAACACACACGAGCATGGAGTTCAATCCTCAGCACCACATAAAAATAAATAAATAAAATAAAGGTTTGTGTGTCTAACTATAACTAAAAATAAAAATTAAAAAAGAAAAGTATATGACAGTGTTAATTTTATAACTACTTAAAAATAATAGATATAATTCAAATACAGACTTCATCAAATGCTTGTGATATAATTTTATCAATTTACATTTTTCATCTCATTTAAACATCTGCATTTTTTTCTTTTTTTTTTTAAATATTTTTTAGTTGTTGATGGATCTCTATTTTATTTATTTATATGTGGTGCTGGAATAGAACCCAGAGCCTCACACATGCTAGGTAAGCACTCTTCCACTGAGATATAACTACAGCCCCATAACACCTGCATTCTTTTTGGTGTTTTTTTTGGTGGTGAGGATCAAACCCAGTGTCCTGATGCATGCTGAGYATATGCTTTATACTGAGCTATATTCCCAGCCCTCACATTTTTTAAAAATATAAAGACGTGAGAAAATCTTACCTTCTTGATAGGCTCCATCTGCCATGACTAAATGAAGAATCTTGGCATAAAGATGCTGATGTTCATTTCCCAAAATATTCTGAACTATTGTTGAACAAATTTCAATATTTTCATCTTCATCTTCATGAATAACCTATACCAAATTTCCAAATATTAATTAAAGTTTGAATAACTTTTTATAATCAGAGGCTCCATTTATTATATGTTTATGATAAATCTAATGACCAATAAAGACAATCAGGGCTGGGGCTGTGGCTCAGCAGTAGTGCACTTGCTTGGCATGTTGTGAGGCACTGGGTTCGATTCTTAGCACCACATGTAAATTAAAAAAATAAATAGGGCTGGAGATGTGGCTCAGCGGTAGCGCGCCCGCCTGGCATGCGTGCGACCTGGGTTCGATCCTCAGCACCACATACCAACAAAGATGTTGTGTCCGCCGAGAACTAAAAAATAAATATTTAAAAAAAAAAAAATTCTCTCTCTCTCTCTCTCACTCTCTCTTCTCTCTCACTCTCTCTTTAAAATAAATAAATAAATAAATAAATAAATAAATAAAGGTCTATTGACAACTAAAAAAAATTAAACGAAAAAGATAATCAATATCTCTCTAGTAATCCAACAGAGCACATGTCAAAAGTAAATTTTTTAAAAATTATTTTTAGTTGTAGACAGATACAATACTTTTATTTATTTGTTTTTATGTGGTGCTGAGGATTGAACCCAGTGCCTCACATATGCAAGGTAAATGCTCTACCAACTGAGCTACAACCCCAKCCCCAAAGTAAATATTTTAAATGACATTGTGCTTACCTTTATTTTCTCATAAACCTCAAAGAACTTCTCAAAACCCATTTCTTGCTCCAGGTGAAGTCTCAGTTCCTCTAAATGGTTAAAGACACTATCATATTCACATTCACTGGTAGTCTCACCATCACTGTTATCTAAAAAGCATAAATAAAAAGATACATTATGATTAAAAAATACTTAATAATTCTTATCTCAATCAAATAAAATTCTATGACAAGTGAATAATGTCACTGAGTTACATTACTTCTATTTTCAATACAAACAACTGCCACTATACTATTTCTCAATTATATAGATAATCAAAGTATATATAAATCTGTCTCAATGAGAATGTTACTTTGGGAAATTTTTTTATAGAATTAATCTTTTTTTAAAATAGAACTTTCTTTTGTAATACTTTTTCTTTTATAGTGAATTTGGTCTAGAAAAAAATTCCTAGAAATATAATTTAATTTAGTGAAAAATGGAAAGAGCACACCTCTATATTTTTCACTGAAGCAACCAATCCTAATTTCTATGTTTTAAAAGTTGATGTAAACATGGGCCACACATGCAAAAGACAAATGACCTATGACACACATCATAACATTTTAGGAAAGTTTCTAGAAAGTTATAAGTACCTGATATTTTTGTCACATACATGCTACAGATATTTGAGAAAAAATTATTTAAAAACATTTTTTTCACATTAATTCTTCCCAAATAAATATAGGAGGTAAAATATACAAACTTTCCATGCATCTTAGGTGTAATGCTATGAAAAAAGAATAATCTAAAAAAGAAAAGAAACAAATAGAGGGCTAAGAAAACTAAGTTATTTATTATCTTTACTATTGAAAAATAAGAAATACCAAACAACTGAATAAAATGTGTCAAAAAAATCACTGCCATAGATAATGGGAAAGAAATAGAATAACTGTGGRTGCACAGTAGGGTTTAAAGAAAAATAATGAAATAAGGGCAGACACACAACATGAACAGTTTTATTTAAAAATGAAAATGGTTCATAAAGAAAAATACACTCTACTTGAAGTGTTTATATACACTGAAAAAGAAAAGKCCCATCTTGATAAGTTTGGTCTGCCATGGTCACACACCTGAGTGCCATTCCTCATTCAGTGCACTTTCACTGCTGGGATTTTCATCATCAGCTAGATCTGTCCCATTTGCAGTCTGCTCCACGTCACTGTTTTTTAAGATGGACTCTTCCTCCTCACTGTATTCTTCACCAGGTTGTTCCCTCAGTAACTGCTCCATGGAGGCCTGAAGTTCTTGTAAATCTGTGTCAGTTTCTTCAAACACACTGAAAAAAAAAAAAAATCAAATTAAACATCATTGAAACTTTATTTTTACGTATTAGTTCAAATCAATATGTATGTGCCCCCTTCTACTTAAAAGTATTAATCATAGATAAAAAGAAATTTTAAATTCCTGTATAGTTTTTAACCAAAGAATGAATACAATTGGTAAATATAGCACATTCCACATATTCTGGAAAATATAAGCCAGAAGACAATTTGYTTAAAATGATACTGATTTGCCAAAAAAAATCACATAACTCAATATTATTAATTGCTTAAATTTGGAGCAATGTTTTGATATTTTAAGAGGACAGACTAATGATGTTATTCACCTGCTTTCAAAAATAAATATTTAATACTCAAAAATTTAAAATGTAATTTTGAAAGTTCATCAAAATCTTTGTGTGGCTGTATAATAGTTGTAAAACTATATGAAAAGCTTCCCACGTAAATGCCTACTGGGCATTTGAACTTTTAGAAATGGAAATACATAAGGAATTATATATTTAGGTTAACAGAATAATCACTGAATAAAATGTTTACCAGAAACATTATTACRTATGTTTTCTTGAAAACATTTCTAAAATACATAATAAGTAGACTTTCCTGTGTAATTAGAACATACAAACTTATCACAATATTCACTGGAGAGTCCTGTTTTCAAGGCATTAGGGTATTAATTCTATTTTCATGGAATTATAAATGCTGGGATAGACTAATTTATACATTTAGTACCTTATATTTATGTAGTATTTTAGCCTCTTAAGCAGTTTTATCCTATTATTTAAATTTTATCTACACCAAAACTCATGTTAGAGACATGGAAACTGCAATCTAAGAATTTAAATGGCTTGCTCAAGGCCACGTGATAAGTGACAAACAGGATTGAAATCTAAGTCTCTGAGCACTTCTACAATACTCAAGAAGCATAGTTAAAAGCTTTTTGTCTCTTATGACTTCTTTTTCCTAGCGTGACATACATAGAAACACTGTATGTTAAGAGAGTTAATTGAGGTTTTTAGATGTATGAAGATATTTCAGAGAGATTATGGACTCAAGTTGAGGATTTTATCTACTAGAAAAATAATGCTWAACAAGACATAAGGGTTGACAATAACCTTCTAAAAGTTTAGACTCAAACCAATGTTTACTGAAGAATTAAAATATAAACAGTATTTTACACAAGATTTTGAATACAATTTACATTAATAAAAAAAGAAAATAGCCTTTTCTTATGTATAAATATATTTATTTTGTACTTACACATTCAGGCAATTGACTTTATAGAAGCTATAGAAAAGCAAAATTCTAATCAGAAGCAGAAGGAGTGTCTAATCTTTTAGATCATGCCACTAGTATCATTTAATTTAATAGTTAATTACAAGAGCTGCTTACCATGTACACCTGCTATATCCTATTGCTACAATGACGAAACACTGACCTGTCCATAACATCTTCTACTGGCTAGCCTAGAGGAGTTGGTGCCCAATGCAGCTGGGAGTCAAGTAAGTGAGGCTGCCAAGGCTGCTACTACTAGAAAAGTATGAGGAGATTACAATTTTATAAAATGAGAGCTCAAAATTCTGTTTAAGGTRCTTTAAAATTTGGTCATGAATTTGGCTTAGTTTACTTCCTTATTATAAAAAAAAATTAAGTGGGAACCAAAAAAATTTCCAAAGACAAATATCAAGTGAAATTTTCCTATAAGGATACATTTTAAATAACATTAAAAATTACGGTTTTTGGATTTTTCAACTAATACTGAAGGCACCTCTCTACCTACTTACATATCTGTGGTAATGGAGATTAAACCCAGGGCATTTTTCAAGGGCTATACCACCAGTCCTTTTTATTTTTTATTTCAGATACAGGGTTTTGCTAAATTGCTCTGACTGGCCTTGGACTCGAGATCCTCCTGTCTCAGCCTCCTGAGTCTCTGGGATTACAGGTATGCACCATCACAATACAGAAGGCTTCTAACTTATATTTTAAAATCAATTCTGTCATCAGCTGGTAAAAAAACACAAACCATRAATATGCTATAGTTCACTCAGATAAAAACTGATGATTCTATTAAAATTTTTGGGAGGAAAAAACCCTGTTATTCAGCACTTTGTTAATCATAAAGGTGCTGGATGTTGTGTTCACCAACAGTTACTAAAAACACAAAATCAAAGTGCTTAATGACCATGATCAAACAGAACAATCAAAGATAAAAAGGTAACTTTCCTTACAAATTGGAGGTCTAGAAAAATATGTAGTACTCTATGAAAATTGAAAAAAAAACTACAAAAACTTTATACTCTTTTAAAATTCAAGTTTTATTAGAAGTTTAAAAAGCAAAGGACAGGCCTGACACTGTGGTGCACAACTGCAATCCCATCAGCTTGAGAGGCTTAGGTAGGAGGATTGTAAGTTCAAAGCCAGCCTCAGCAATTTAGTGAGAACCTGTCTCAAAATAAAATATAGAAAGAGTGTCTCAGTGGTTAAGCACCCCTGGGTTCAAACCCTGGTATCAAAAAAGAAAAAGCAAAGAACAGGCTTAAGAAAAACAAAAAACAAAATAAAATGTGTCATATGCAATGATCCTGGCTCATATATAATAGCAGGAAAAATTATAACATTGATAAAATGCTTTTAATCAGGTAAATATTCTAGGGTCTTTCCATTTAAAGGAAGAGGTGAGAAGCTAAAACTTAAGTTTAAAAAAAATCAAAATAAATCATATAATTCTAATATTTAATAATTTATTCTTGGAATAATTTGAATATACTATATGTTTTCAAATACTTTATTCCAGGATATTCTGGTTTTATTTCCCCCCAAAGTTTACAATACTTGTCTGAGGGATTGATATTGAAGAAAGTATAGGAGGATTTTTATCGAAGGAGTCACCACTCTCTATAACTCTCCGAAGTGTTATCTGTTAAATTCCTTCTTGAAATCTAAATTCCCCATCGATCACAAAGAAAATAATTTTGTGAAGGCAATCGAATCACATGCAGACTACATCCCACCCCAAATCACCTCTACATATCTGTGCAGGTACATTCCTCCCCTGCCAATTCCCAATTGACATGGCCCTAAAATCAAACATGATAAAAGATACATGTGCAGCTTTCTGGTAATTTTCCTGGGAGGAGAAGTGCAGTGTATTAATTACTTCAAAATTTCCCATTGCAATCCTTGTATCACTATTAAACAGTCATTATCCTGTTAACATTTATTCATTTAACCAAATATTAAGCACTTACTATATCCAAGGTAGTATGCTGGATACTCTAGAGGCAGATATACATTCTCAAAATTTCATGATTACATTTTAAATAAGTTGTAAAAAGTTACAAGTAATAAAACATCAGCTATAGATCATTTAAAAAACTGTCTAGGGGCTGAGGTTGTAGCTTAGTGGTTGAATGCTTGCCTCGCATGCATGAGGCACTGGGTTCGATCCTCAGTACCACACAAAATAAATAAATAAAACAAAGATATTGTGTTTACCTACAACTAAAAAAAACAATAAAAATTAAAAAATAAAAAAGAAATGTTAAAAGGACTTTAAAACATTAAAAATAAACTGTCTAGTTAACCTCTCTTAAGTTTTAAAAAATCATCAATTCAGAAATTAGTGCTAGTATTTATTAGTGGCATTATGCTTACATGTCTTCAGAATCAGAAGGCCCTTCTTTAACGTGCTCATCTTCAATTTCGTCTATCTCAAGATTGTCTTGATGAACATCTCCTACAGTGGGAACATCCATTAGGGTTCTGAACAGCTTTGAGAGATCTGGCAGTGAACATGTCCTCAGCATCTAAAAGAAGTTGACAGATTACTTATTTAGAGTAAAAGAATTAAAGTTGAGAAAGAAAATTAAAACTAATAGTAATTTTATATATAATCATATATTTAGAACTAAAGGATCCAATGGTAACTTGCCCAAGGTTAGAACCTAGTTCTCTGAAATTCAGCTCAGTATTTTTTCACAGAGAAAACAAGTTATGATTGAATTCTAATACAGACAAATTCACTTATATCACCTTTAAAGGGTAGGAAGAGGTGTTTAGTTATATAAGTGAACTGGAAGTAGAAATCTATCAGGAGTCAGGGAGTTCTAGAAATTGCCCATTCTCTCCTTATCACTCATGGCTTATGCTGTCCCTCTTTCATGGTATTTCTAGGTGGTCTTCTCACCTTCCTATATGGTCATCTCTCCTCATACTGTCTTGCTCAAATTCTGGAACAAATTCTCTTAGGAGTGGATATGCACAATTACACATAACTGTATCACTTAATCATAGGAGTTGCTGGCTAGCTAACATTGGTTAAACCTGGGGCCTCAAATCAGTGTCAAAAGAATCCTAGTAACACTTGCCTGGACATGGGCTCTGAATAGAGCCTGCCCACTCAAATGGAAGGCTGGAAGAACAAGCACTTTGATGTCAGTACTGAGAGTCACTTATAACAGCAGAGAGAAGGCACTCAGCCAACTATGTTGAGAAAAACACAGTTCACAGTTGAGGTGTTGAAAATTTAAATTTGTGATGGATAAGACCAGGGATAACAGGCATAGCCTCTGTTCACCAACCTTTCAACAATGAGAATGTGACAAATAGACAGGGATATGAAACAAATAACCACATACTTAAGTCTCTGGACTGGGTTAACACTAAAGGAATTCATGAGGTTTGAAACTTGACTACTAAGGCCCTGATAAGAACTCTACACCAGATGGAAGACTTTGAAAAAAACACAATGTTTAGCATATTAATGAAAATTTATATACTTGGCCAATTTTATTAGTACAATCTGTTTTTGAGAATGATGAAGGATAGATTTCCATTATTTGAACATAATTTACATATTATAGCACTCAAGGGAAAAATGGTTTTGAACTACAAATTGGCAAAGATGGTAAAGATGATATACTGCTTTTTAAAGCATTTAATAATAGTACTGAAGGTATGTCTTTTGCTGATTTTCTACTGCCAGCAGAATTTACACTTGACTTGTTTATTACTTTATGGTTTTAACCATGTATATTATGAGCCAGAGGCATGCAAAATAGGCACCCAGTAACAATTTCCTTAGCTAATTACTAATCAACAGAAATAAATAGCATATATGCGTTGTATACCTAAATTTGAGGGGATTATATGAAAGGATATGATAAACTGAGAAAAATCTGAGCTAGCCCTGGTAAAGTAATCTCCTTTTACTAATTAAAATAATCTTCATAACCTATCATAAAATAATACAGTCAGAACAAAATTTAACTGGTCATGTAATTTGACAACCTATCTCTTGAACAGGCTTATATTAAGCCACTAATCCAAGAGCTATCAGCAGGAAAAACCCTTTATGTCTACATAAAAGTATGATAMACTTTATTTTCTTATTTTTATTTTTTTAGAATTTAACCTTTATTTTATTTAATTGAACCCAGGGCCTCACCTGTGCTAGTCAAGCACTTTACCAYTGACCTACAACCCTAGCTTGATACACTTTAAGTATGATCTTCATCTTTAGTCACAAATAAGGACCCTTCTTGCCTCTTTCCCTCCGGCCCTGCAAAGTACAACTTCACTACTGAGGTATACCCAGCCTCCTTTCAGTTCTATAATTTGGATTTTCCTAATTTTTTTCATGTTTAAACAATAATATTTCATAGTTTTAACATCCACAGAAAGAAATCCTCTTGAAAATGTTAGCTCATTCCTAACATGTTGCCTGAGATCTCCATTTATAATTTTTTCCTGTAGATTCTCTGTACCACGATAATTTGTAAAGCTAGCATTTAGTACCATTGTAAAATCCAACAGGAAAGCAATGCTTTAGGAAATCTTTAAACTCTTTTTTTTAAATGTATGTTTTCTTTAGTTTTAGTTGGTTAGTTTTATTTTTCTTAAAAATAGAAAACCACAAATATAGCAAATGAATTAAATACCAGCTTATTCACAGAATTTCACATCAAATTCCACTTAAAAGAATTCTGTTAACTCACTTTTTCATCTATACAGGTTTTCATATAATATTATGACTTAATACTGTTGTAGTTATATCATGAATCAAACAATGGGCAAATTTGTTTAATACTTTGTTCAGTGAAATTAAACTGTAACACTGTTCTCTCAAAATAACTTCTACAAATATTTCCTTACTTCAACCCATAAACCCCAACCTACAAATAAATGTAAAACAATTAAAAAAGTATTAATCTTTACCAAAGGCAAAAATTAAAGATATTGTCTAAGGATAGATATTTGAGCAAACCCAAAGAATCAACATTTGGGCTGGGGCTGTAGCTCAGTGGCAGAGCACTTGCCTAGCACATGTAAGGCCATGGGTTTGATCCTTAGCACCACATAAAAATAAACAAATAAAATAAAGACATGCATCTACAACTACAACTACAACAACAACAAAAAAGAATCAACATTTAAGGCATGTGTACTACTTACGAATTGTACATTAATTGTTTTTCCCCATTTTGCATTTACTATAACAAAAATTCTCAAGTTTTCATAGTGATGTTTTCCACTTCACTTTCCAGAAGGTAAAAGTTTTYGGCATAACACATCTGTTCTCTTTCTATTCCTTATTCACTATCCCCCACTAAAGTGAGAATGAACTGACTCAAGGCAAATGAGAGAAGGCACTGCTAAAAAAAAGTGCCCACCCTTCCTACTCATTCTTAGATCTGCCTGCCTTGAAGGGTATGTGTCTTGCTTCCCTTATGCTGCTTTATGGTAAGTACACCAGGTTAGGACCACCTGCCTTCTGCAAGTAAAATCGGCCCAACCTTCAGTTTCCCTGAAGCTGTATTTGGTAAGGCATAAAGCAATAATGTGTAAAAAAAAAAGTCTCTAACTGATGACTATATTCTATCCACTGATTATTCAGCAAAAATTTATTCAGCATTACCATGTGTTAGACACTGAACATATATTGGTGGTGGAAAATAGATCTAGATATTGCCTTATGATATTTTCAGTGTAGAAAAATATCGTGACTGAGAATTGTGAACCTAGAGAAGCTGTCCCCATGAGATCAGAGAACAGCTGTGTCTGCATAAAGGATTAAAAGCATTATCTAAATATCACAAGCCATAGTTCTCTCCTAGAATAACACTGATAGGTGAGAGGAGTGGAGGAGGAGGAGAAGAGCAAGCAAGCCTGGGAAATGGAGCTCACTGAATGAACAAACAGAAACACCTAAACTTTTCTAAGACTGTTCTGGTTTATGGGCTAAAAACTTTGCCAGTCTGTTCTGTTAACCGTAATTAATACCATAGGTATATTAGTTTACTCCATATTAAAAAAGACAAACCCCTCTAATCCTTCAAATTATATTTATTTTTTGAACATTACACCCCAATTTTATAGCACTTTCCTCTGTAACAAATTTCAAGCTTTCCCAGGCAAGTTTTTCACATAAAGCAGCAATGGCAAGAACTATTTCACCATTGACCAATGTTATTTTTATGGCAAAACATGTTATAAGCAGTTAAAAAATATATTTTTTAGTGATGTTTAACCATCTTTGTCTCTGTGTAAAGAGATTGGATCAATTTAACACTGACTTTGTGCTATTAATACGTCCCCTCAAAATCTATACTGACCTATGTATGATGTGATCTTTCATCATCCTTATTTTCTCATGTTTAAAGTGGGATAATAGCACTTATCTTACAGGGTAGTTGTAAGAATTAAATTATTATATTTAAAGTAAGGTAGAACAATAGCCAGAATACCACAGATGCTTGATAAAGTTGGTTATTATTACATTAATAATTAGTGTTACATATTAGGTACTTTTGTAAAGTCCAAGTAGGTGACAATCATTTTCCAAGAGATAAAATAATTATAAATAGTGAAAAGCTGTTTTCTGATCTCAAGTCTATGTATTTTGCTGGRATTTTAGTGAATTAGAATTATATACCCCTTTCAGGAACAAGAGAAAGTTAAGTAAACTCTGTATTACTGTGATAATATGGTCTTCACAAACTAGAAATGGACATGATTACAATTTGGTAGTTGTGTTGCTGTCAGACAGTGAAGTAAAAATCACATTAGCAGCCCCTTTCCACAATTTAAGTGGCTGCTATCCAATAACTCAACACAGAAAATTAACTTGCTTAATAGTTATATGGATGTATTTGACAAGATGTTCATCATGGCAATCCATCAGAAAGGCACTCAAAACTGGACATTACTTGGGAGCATTATTGGTATTTTTAATAGCTAAGCAGGGAGACACCACRCTTTAAACACTTCAGGCCCTAATTAGGTCCACTGCGCTCTATGACAATGTTTCCACAGTGCAGAGGTGGACCACTAAATCCAGAATCATCATTAGTGCTAGTGCGTGGCAACAATGTATATTCCTAACTCTGCTCCAGATACATTAAAAGAGACACCCTTGAGTTTATAGGGCAGAACATCTGAAACAAACATGCCAGACAATGTCCACGTTAGAGTTTAAGATTAATACTCACTCTATGGTTCAAAACAAATTGGTCATTAATCACTGCTGAATGGACCAGAAAGAAAGCTTTGTTTCTTGAAGAAGCTGTAGTTCTGATTGGTAAATCTTGAATAAAAGTGGCTTGCCACCTATGCAGACTAGCATCTAGGTTAAATTATAGTCATTTTCTACTATGGCTACCAACCTTATCATTTCCTTATTTGATTCTAAGTTACAAAGACCTTTTATCAACCAGCAATATACATGCCTTTGCAGCGCCATACACTGAGTAATCGTTGTTAAAAGTAAGCTTACTGCAAAATGTGATTATTTAAAAACAAAAAAGCA